CTTGACGGAAAGAGGATCGAGCCCTAGGGAAACCTCATCAGTTGGAATAGCGTTGCTACCAGAGGGAAAAGATTTCCACCAGATGGGCAGAGTGGAAAACAAAATAGCCCAAGGCGGTGAAAGGAGAATTTAGAGCTAATAGCCATACGGTACAACGTGCTGTGACGTATCAGCATATACAGACATAGTGCTGTTTTATACGTTTGATGAACTCGTCAGCAGCACATCGAATTCGCACAAAAAAGCTATGCTGCGTAAGCGTACCCTTTAAATGTGGTACCTTTGCATAATTAATAATTTAGCAAATATGAAAACGTGAGGAAATTTAAGATTAAATAACTGCAAAGATAGAGAACTGTGATAATCACGTTCTCGTCGCTTGTACCACGAAGTTCTAAAAGCCGGAGAGTTAATGTTTTATGTATACGCTAAGATTACGTTACAATGGGGCTCGAACAGAAAACTAAATTGGAAATAGAGCGTCCCGTAAATGTGGTGTCACAACGAACTACCGGAAATTGCAACGATGCGCTGACGAGATGCCGGAATAAGAGACGGAATTCTTTTTTAGTGTGACTATGGTTATTTCGGTGCTGGTTGCATGGACTGGTTATGTTGCAGTGCCTCCTACACGTGAAAGTAGAATATGTAAATGCCTCCTTCACAGAATTTGCATGGCCTCACTGAAGTGCCCTGCCCCTTTTTCTAGATGCAAAGAGAGTCTTACCAGCAGGTCGCGAGTCCATGGTGATTAAATACCTGCAGCGCACACAGGCTGTATTTTCTGTCAGAAAGTTAGGTTGAACACCGGCCGAGTTTCGCTGAGCAATCGCAGCTCGACCACCGACTGAAAAATACACAATTTGCGCTTAATTGCCTCACTAATGGCGCTAATTTCATAATGGTGTTCGAATGGTCATTATTTGGTCCGATTCAGTTGGTACTTGAAAGTGTACTGGTTTGGCTGGCGGAGACGTCTGCCAGGCATCTGGCTACACGGTGAGGATGCGATTACCCCCTCGCATGAATCCGGTGAAGAAACAGGATGGTGTTTTGACCGGCATCATCAAAAACTGCTGTCGTTGGCAATCGCACCAGAATATAAGGATCTTCTATGGTACGTTTAAATGATAGCTGATTGTGATATTTTTTAGTTGATGGTTAGGTGCTTGTTTGTTCAGCGTAACACTGAGATGCGGTATGACATGCACACATGCTGGTGCTCAGTTAACGTTTAGTCGTGGCCTGCCATAAAGATCCAAGTTTCTAGAAGCAGTTGGATGGTGCAACTGCGCAGTGTAAATCCGGTGAATGAACAGGCATCTTTAGGCATCATGGATGTGGCGACATTCATCTTAGAAACGTTTTTGGAAAATTTGATTTTTAGCCGTTTATTTAATAATTTAATTGATTTTTTGCAAGCTACTTAAATGAATATGAAATAATTGTATTTTCATTAAAAATGGTGAACCATTCAAGTCATGTAAATTTAATGTATGAAATAGACGTATCCGAAGTTAAGGCAATGATGGCCAGGTTTACGAGTCATGTCGCGGACACGATTTAACTACATTTTATCCTACGCTACAATCCGTGCTCCTTGCAACATCGACCGGTTCTCAACTCTCGTGAAAGAACGTCGATTGCGTTGGCTGGAACAGCGCATGCAAAGAGGTCAATCAGACGATATCACCTCATTACACTAACCGTCGCCTCGATTACTAAATAGCACCGGAAAAGAGACACTGAGTCCTGATGAGTCTGTTTCAGACTTGGTGGTTCAGCATCCCTCTGGACCGGCAATGTACACGTACAAATAGTGGAAGAAAGACTTGCTAGTGGAGGCGGAAGGCAGCGATCTGGGATGTGGTGATAGCGGCTAAATCAGTGCTAGTGACAGTCGTAGCAACAACATCAGCAGCATTGAACGAATGAAGCATTCACCTCATTTCCAAAACTAGCAGCCGGAATGAAAGACAGAAATGACCTCTAAGTAAACATCGGTAAAACAACCAGGAATTGATGGCATCTGTGAAGAAACACATCGAATACTCACTACAGCCTTGCCGTCGTTGTCTTGCGATTGGACAACCGAGCCACGTGGCCACGTAGCGTTCAATTAAATAGTCGAAAATTGGGAGGACGATATCTAATAATACAGGTTCTCTGTTGTACTCAGATAATTTGCATTTTGCTGTTGGGCCTTACAAGATATCTGGGCGCATATTTGCAAAGGGGAGGCAATTGCGTCGAACTTGTCGAATAGCTGCGCCATATTAAGTGAAGTTATGCAATACTGTTGACAACCCTTGGTTCTTAACTTATTTACAAGGTCATCACTCGATACTTGTTTTTGCTGGCAGCTGGTTTCATTAGTATGGTAAATCTTTTTGTCATTCGGTGCTGACCATCTTGTTATGCCTGTCATAAGCGCTTGCTTAGCCGCCTGCTATGGCGTCCCGGATATGTGCTTCCCGTCTCCGCCACCAACTTAAACCCTCAGCTCGTACACTGCCCAATCAAGCCTCGATGTCTCTGCCTCTCTCCCGATGTTAATCAGTGGCTGAGGCGGTATTTATCGTAACGGAGTGATATCTTCCGGTTATCGTTTGTGTGTATGTGCCTCAGCCAACGCAGTCGCCGTTTTTTCGGGATAGGAGAGAATATGAGGTTGCATCGGGCACAGATTTCGGCGTTAAATCGTGTATGCGACGTGATTCATAAAACCAATGAACAGTGTAGACGAACAAGCAGCATTTGATTAGCGCTAGTCTTTTTCTTTTTTTCCAGTTCCTCTTCATTTTCCTGTCAGAGTGCCTATTTTTTAGTTTTCCGTCTTTTCTCGTTCTACCTCTAATCCTCCATCAAATGCTGGTCAAAGAATCTTGATCATGTTGTGTGCAATGGCAGCGAAACGTGTCAACTGTTACGCAAAACCTTATGACCATTGTTTTGCGCATGGGCATCCTAACCACGTATAATAAATGTTCAGTGAATCAGTTATGGACCCCAAATCAAAAATTGCTTATGTAAATTAAGATCAATTTTTAATTTTGCAACTGATGTTTGCCACAAACCGGTCGTTTTCTTCCACGTTCCTCAAACTACTCTTATGGACTTCAAAGTGGTATAGCCAGTGCCTCAGTTAATCGACATCTGCTGATGATAGGAGTATTCACAAAGAACTGAGCCATATTTGTATGATCCTGAAAACAATGCAAACTGCTTGTTATCTCTTTATTTGTGGAGGTCCCATTGATCTCAGTATGAGTCTCCCTTATTTCGGCAGGCTTGGCCAATAATACGAAAGGCTGAACGGCCGTGCGTCGGCACAGTCAGTTAAGACACGCAACAATCACAGATCTGGAAGCTGACTTATTCACGGGCGGAGGACCAGGGTGAAACTGTTGACTTTTAAAAACCGAATGGCCTGATTCGGCACGGCTAAGAAGGGACCGTCCGCACTTTGAAATTCACCCACCCTGTGAAAATACCGAACAGTAAAAAACAAGCATTTTTTGTTTAAAGCAAATTACTGAACTCGAAAAGTTCTGGTCCTAATTGTCCAGTTATCTTTCTATCGATCTATCTAACCATATATACCACTGTCTAGGTATTAAGTCGTCCGTTAATCTGCTCATCATTCGAAATATTCACCCATATATTCCATGTTTATCTACGCATAGTCAGTTCCTACCTGTTATTGCTATGTCTGTCCCTTCGTGTGTCTCTATAGTTTCATTGGTTCACGTTCATTTTTCCACCGCATGAACGCTGTTCGCTCCATTCAAATTTTGATTACCCATGAGGATGGACTGTACTATGGAATTGTTGAACATGATTGGAAACAGATAGCGTTGATACATTTGTAAATGTCAGTAACCCTTCGTTTTCAAATGCACTTATTCAAAATTTCAATTTTAAACTTACCGTTAATTTTAAGCAAGAAGCATGACGCGCTTTTTTAGGCCATTAGTAGTAAGAAGGTGATGGAACAGCAGGCTTTTCATTCTGGTTTGGTCAGAAGCTATGCGTTTTCTAAAGCCGATTACTGCAGCGGTATATTTACTATATTATACTGAAATATTAACGAGATTTACGTACAGTCTTATCCTAATTTAACCATAAAAACAAATACACATTAGGCGCGTAATACAGTATGACTTGTGGAACTTCAGGCAAAGTTGTTTCCATTCGACCCGGGTACGGATGAAAATGCGTTCATCGTCATCATGTACAAGTCGGTCAATGGCGCTCTGCCGTAAAGTGGCGAGGTCCTGCGCATCATTTCGAAGTAGTGACTGCGAAAATAGGTGGACATTTGCTTTTTCCACTTCGTCCTTAAAGTTTGAAGTGTTTTACGTGATAAATGTGAGCAAAAATAGTTTTTTTCTCTAAACTACCTCCTGTTCTGAAACCAAGTTTTGATCTGCGTTTCCGTCAAATTCAGATGCGTCGATAATTCCTGCCGTTTGGTGGCGTTCAGATATTTGTCCTTCTGCATAAAAGCAATTTTAATTCCATGATGACAAGATTAATTTGGTACTGCGCAAGTGCGAACACGGGGATGATGAGGAGGAAACTCAACACTCAACGTAAAAGCTTGCCAAGCAAAAATGACCAGACTCTGAAACGACAGAACAAACGAGATACATTGAAACGGATTTTAATCTACCTCATCGAGAACGTTAATAGCCTGGCATGACGTTGGTTAATGACGCACCGGTAAACGGTGTCGCACATCAGCTTTGAGGCTAAGTTACTTAAGGATGAGGGCATTCCGATGGCGCAACTTAGATATATTACAGCTGCCATTTGTATTCATCAATCGTTCAATAAGTTTTATGTTCTAGCAACCGGGTAGAGCATTGTCTGGATTTAAAAGGTCGTAGTATGCAGTGTGATACACCAATTAAATAAAGAAAGAATATCTAGTGCTGGTATATCTAAAGACTGATACAGGGCAAATCATAGAAAGAAGTGTTAGTTACATGGTAAAACTGTCGAGTGTAACTCATATCATTTGAACAAAGCACAAGGTATGTACCAAATAGTATTAATGAACGACCGCTAATCAATCCAGGATACGAATCAATGAGTTGGTGCTGGGCCACAATAGTCCCATGAAAGCTAGTTTATTGCAACTATTTATTATATCTAATTAAGAGACTATCATATCTATATGCTGATGCCGGCTATCTTACTGTAGCGGATGATACTATGATATAGTGGAGTTCCCATCAGCCCCTCGATTACACTAAACGCCACCCCCGTTCCATGAACTGCATGGGAATGGAAACGAAAGCGTTAAGGTCTGTTAGGGCACTGTCAAAGCTGGCGTTGAAGTTTTCTCTGGGCCAGCAGAGTATGGGTACAAACGGTGGAATAAAAACTGCCTGAAGTTGGTGATCGACAAAGGAGGGAAGCAGCGACCCGGGACGTCATTTAAGCTGAGTGGACTCACGATAATGATAGTCGTTAAAAATGAACAGCAATTCTCATTGATCGTTATGGGAAGGAAAATGATTGTAGTCTTTGAAGAATCTAGAGGTATTAGCTAACGAGTTGATGGTAGTTAATAGTAATTGGCATAAATTTGCAACCATATATCAAACTCTTATCAACATCCTCAATGACAAGCGAATTCCTATACGATTTAGGTATGGTGTTCAAAGGTATTGACTTTGAACCTTTGAGGTGCGGAGTTCCAATTCCAGCTGGCGAACAATTTTCGTGAGAAACTTAGGCATTTTTTGCTACTTCTCTTGACCAGCGAATTCAACCAAGAACTGACAGATTTGAATGCAACCGAGGAAAGTGAAGGAAATTGCCCGGGATGTAGAAGAAGATAATGTGTTCATTTCATCGTACAGTTTGACAAAGGATGAGGCTTGATATGTCTAATTCTGTAACATCTAGATGCTCTTTCAGGTTTAAGAAAATGTACAATGACCCGTTCTGACCCTCTTAGAAGTCTTGAAACATCGTTACTGATTGATTGATGATTTCCTTGAATAGCAAATTCACTCTGCCTTCTAAGGATATCAAACCATCAGAGAGGTGGGTCATTGACGTAGTAACAATGGCCACAGTATGGTATTCTGGCACGGTCCTGTCTGAGTACACGAGAATTGCGGTCACTCTGTCGGAACCGGACAGCAACAAAGCGCAAACCGTAAAATTAAAAATTCGAACACAATAAGTGTATTTAACCCTTCGGCTGAGGAACAAGCTATTCGAGGGGCAAACTGAAGTTCACTACCATCAATGAACCTGATGATCATTTCGCTACAGCTTTCACTAGCCTTTCTTTTTCTCTGGTCATTTGCATTTCTTTTTTTCTGAGGTTGAAAAATCCGATTCACATTCTGGGAAGGAAAGAAAAAACTACGCAGTATGCTTAACACGTAGCTGCTGTTGACTCTCCGATTAATATGAGACACGTCTGGCTATAATGATAGAAAAATGGACATCACTGCCAGCGATTACCTCAGAATTCGCTCCGTCATCAACAGCTGTGAGAAATACCCATATTTCAGTGATTATTAACTTTCCTATTCGTTCATAGGTTTCACTCAGGTATTAAATCTTTTTGTTTATATGATGATGATCATGCGGGTTGTACTACAACGAGACGTTTCGTAAATTGAACGTTTAGCAGTATTTCCTAGTCTCGGACCATGGATCGAGAAAGAAGATTAGGGTTATTGCAGCCGGGTAGAGCATCGAGGAGATCTTCAAGAGTAAGTTAGCCCTTTGCTGTGGGTCATTTTGAAGACAAGTTTTTCAGCTTGTGCTCCGAATGATGGGTGGTATTTATAATTCAGTTGGTGCCCTAAACCCGTCATCTTTTCAAAGGACTAGGACACGGTAATCTTTGTGAGCAAGTTTCAAAACTACGACTTGATTTTTACCCGTGCATTTAGGTGCGGATAATGTTTCATTCCATTGTCCATGTGATGTGTCTAAATTTTCTAAGCTCATGAGTCATGATACTTCGTTTAGGTGGTTACAAGTATGCTGAAATCAACTTACCCCCTTGCTTTCAGAGTGTCGTCCTCCTAGACAAATTTACGTTTGAATGAGTATGGAGGTTTGTGAACCCTGGTTGCTACGGCACGCTAACCGACAGGTTATGGATCATTCATGACAGGTCTTAGCGGCTCATTGTGGATAGCGCCGTGTCGTGTCGTGCGATCCTGTATTTGGTCACTAACTGATCTCTGAGAATGGAATGCTGAAGTTAAACTATGTAAAGCTTTTGAAGGAGATGAATGGAGGGAATCGGCCGGACCCAGCAGCACTCTTTTAGCACCTTAAAAGCATCCTCCAGTTTCTGCAACTGTTGCTTTGTATACGCCTGTCGTGACTTTCTCACTTCTCCGCTGTTCTTTCTCCGGCGGTAGTATGACTTGTATACTATAAACGACGAGGTTGAGGAAGTCGAGGTTGGTACACATTATCACCTACCTGGCGGGGCTATCTGTATCTGCAGACTGGAGGCGGAGGGTAGCGTCAGCAAGCAGTTTGGGTAAGACGGCGCCAACAACGCAGGATCCATGAACGCGTTGGGAAACGGTGCGTTCAGCACGCCCTGCTGATTGCTGATCATCAAAACGTTTGGAGATACTGGAGTCTGTCGAGGGAACAGCGAGATCGGCGGCGTATCGGTGGCTTCTGCCTCTCCTTCTTTGAGGATGTGGTCGATGGTGAACTGGCCTCGCTGCATCTCGCCGCCTTCTCCAACTTCCTCCACGGACACGCTTCGCTTAATGACCAAGCAGCACGTTGTGACTCCAGGACGACGAAAGTCGCGAGAGCCTGCGGATCAAATTTGATCACCAGGAGGCGGTACCCGGAAACTGCGTCCCCAACTCTTCCTGATGATGAATTCTATGCTAGCTCATGAACGAAAACCGATCGACTTAATTGTGTTTACTGACGGCTAAGCTAGTCGCCAGGCAAGTAACGACTGACGCAACCAGCAGCTACCGTACGCTTCTGATTCCTTTCTCAAAAGGTGTCTAATTTTTCGCTCCGGTTCACTTCCATTACTTCCATGCTGATGAAACTAATTTAGTTTTGCACCGCTGTAAGGCCATTATTCGCTTAGTCTGAGTCTTCCCACGGTTGGTTTTCGACCACTTTAATACCTCGATTTACGACCAATTGTGGATTGTCCGGTTTAAATGACACTCAGCAAATGAGGTTCAGGCATCTGAGGTCGCTAAATCGTCATTTTACACGCGCTGCTGTATGGAAATGAACTTAGATTTTGGAGATTCAACACTGCTTTTGGCCGATCGTTTGTCATTACGGGATGTACGACGTAATATGCGGCTTTATTGACATTTACCTGACGAAAAATCAGTCAAGCATTAAAATTTACGTATGCTAATCGATCAGCGGTCATTATCCTTATTACTGTTCGTTTGACAGACGACAACGAGTAAATAATGATGGATGAACGACCATGTTCAACGTGAAATGAAATTCCAGAACGACGTCGACGACATACTTGACGTGTGGTATTTGCTAGACGGCCTCTCATTGGTCAGTGATTAGACATTGATTGGTCCTTTCGATGCCTGCAGCCCTACCTGCAGCTTTCACTTCTGCTTAAATGAAAGATCGAAATTTATTGAAAGCGAGAACGCTTTTGATTACATCGTTTAAGTTGCCAATTTGCCTACTAGTCAAACATCTTCTAATTCCAAGGCTAAAAGGGGAAAGGTTGTAGTTGTAGTTCGATCTTAATTAATTTCATTACAAATTATGAAAGTTATCATGTGCCGATGAAGTCTTAGTTAGCGGATACGGATATCATTCAAAACATGTATTTCGAAAAACATGATGGAAAGCTTCCTAAGTTGAACGCTGAACATTGTAGTCAGTTTCTTACTGGATGAAATTACCCATTAATTAATTGGAGGATATCCGTTCAATGGATACAGCATGATGCGAAGTTACTGAGGCCATCATTCCATTAAATTTTCCACTTTTCAGTAAAATGAACTTGTCGGTTAATTCAGTTGATCGATAAGATTGATAGGTAATCTCTCCTTGCAGAAAAAAGAGGTTTGCCCTGTTAAACAGACCGTTTGGACTTGGGCCATTCACTCCAGCCGGCGAGTTTCTAGTTTCGAACCGAAAAGCGGCAGACGTGTGTTGACTGTGAAGCCACAATGCAACATGGAGGAACGTGGTGAAGACAATCAAGTTTTCCGTGAATACCATTTCCTTATACGATGCAGTGACTGGCGCTTTGTATCAAAAGTGTGAAAAGGCGACAAATGCTGTGTACATCACAGATCAAACATCATGATCATCAACATCTCAAATAAAGCACACAATTCCATGGTGATAAATGTCATCTTTCCCTCGTAACTTATGCCGTTTTTAGACAGGTCGACTAAGTGAAGCAGCAGTTGTAATTTCTCTCAATCTCTTGAGTCCTGCTTACAACTATTGTCCAGATTTTCTGCCATCGTCCTGCCGCTGAATCTAAGCCTCGCTTTCAGAGGACCCCCTCAAGAACCATATTGATGTCTGTCTGGCACTGATTTCTATGATATTATGCCATATGTGAAACCCTTCATTCATGATGCTTATGGCACGGCGGTAAGCTTTGTTTCTATGCCATCAGCCAGCTATGGCTTGTTCTCGTTCTTGAGGTTATATCCATAGCTAAGTGATCACCATAGCATGTAAGGCTTTGTTTCCTTTCACTAAAGGTACATGGAGGGTAGGCGGTATCAGGATGAGTTTTCAGTATATTTTTTTCAAGATCAATAGCAGCGCACAGTTCTTTCTTACAATGTTCTTACCCGTACACTCGAGGCCCACGGACAACTTCATCTTCAGCTCTGAGAGGGTCCCACCAAATCTTAACTTGTCTGCCTCTTCTCCGGTACCGTCCAGTGAGTTCAGGGTGGCGTTCAATGCAATGGAAGTGATATCGTCTCTGTACGCGTCCCAGTCAATGCACTCACCGTTTTTTGCGAATATTGCAGCATTGGATGATGCTACATCGGACAAGCACCATTGGGCATCTGGTCGGTAAATCGTGTCCGCTAGAGGGGGCGGATTCGCCAACTTTAGTAGTCGAAAGATTGCAGTCTCTTCATATCTTGGACTAATAGGTGCCATCTCTTACATCCATAACAAAGAATGAAGCGGATGGTGGTCTGCAGAACTGGCACTTCCTCTCTATTATGATCTTTCGTTCTGTTACAGCGGCTCAGCAGTGTTGAGGTAGCCTGAGTGTTGCTTCTCTCTGAGTCCAATTTGTTCCTCAGACTGTTCATTGGGAACGACGGAAGAGCCAAGGTGTAAAAAGACGGCGAGTTCTTTAGGATAAGTGATACACATGAAGATGGGATTTTTCTCATGTTTCGGTATTCCATTGGACATTATTTTTGACCACATTGTTTTGATGACTGGTAGCACATCATACGGACCGGAAGCAAAGAGCGATGAGACTTCTGACGATTCAGGTGCGCCTGGAAGCCGTCAAAGCCATGCTTGAGGTTAAAAGGAAAACCATCCACTTGACCTTTAAATTTAGACGATCTCTCTCAAGCGATATGAGCATGGTAACAAAGATATTAGGGCGAAGCATTTCGAACGAGTTCTCTGTCGAACGGAAGTTCACACCAGATCCAGTTTCATCTCCGTCATTAACAGCTGCTGTAAAAATGCGCTGTTAATTTTTTGTCCTGTTTTCTTTTATCATAAGTCTGTTGCCTGTCATGCATTGGCCCTTTTCTCAACACGTTTTCTGTGTTTCATAGTCGTGTCCTGAGCAGCTTGTCATTGTCTCGTCCAGGAACTTAGGCAAGGTCCCCTTACAGGATCACATTCTGAGCGCACAGGTTCGACAACGGACTGGATTATCAGGCGTGACACGTGCCTTTCTACGACCTGTGAGAAGAAGGGCCGAACAAGTGACTCGCCAGAGAGGCAATCACCGGATGTGAAACTTAAGAATCGAGGTTCGGCCTGACCACGAACGTCATTCTGTCGTCGATGCACTCGCTGAGACGATCCGGTGGTCCTGGTGGATCGCAAGATTTTGTACGAGATAATATATCTGAAGTGGCCGAAAACTGATGAAAACTTTAAATCAACTTTATAGGTGACGAGAAATCAATTTTTCTTTTCTCTGCCTCTCGCTGCTTTACCTCTTTTCTCACACTCCCTTCAACACTTCATTTCCTCGTCTTACTGTAGCATGTTTCAGCTGAAGCGTTCGCTTGTCGATTTGTTTATTAATGAGGCAATCTCCAATGCATAGCTGTCATGCTTTCAGCATTTCTTAAATTCCGTTCGTCAATTAATTTATCAGATCATGGTGCTAACGGATAATACGGCCGTTGGCGAACGATGGATCCACGGAACGTAATTGCTTTCGCGAGTAACATCGTCGTCGTCGACTTATAATAACATGACCATGGATCGTTGCAAAGTGAAAGATTCTTACGGTACATTACAGTATCACACGAATTATGAAGGGTTATAATGTCATAATCTTTACGGCGATTTTTTCATTTCATATGTCCCAATTACCGCTGTTATTATCCTAAATAGGTTAGACGATCGATATCTATAAACCATATGTCGTTGCCGACGTGGGTGGTCTCCGTGTTTTGACCAAACGACGCTCAGCCAAGCATGGCCTCTGTTTCATTTCATTTCTAGGCTTCAGTGCAACAGATGAAAATTGATAAATACGCACTATTAATTGATGACTTGAATGGGCGGCTACACTGACGTTACTTTAAAGTTCCGAATGGATACCTGACAGAAACTGTCAGTCAAATATAAGATCTGCACTCAGGTAAACTTCGCTTCTAAGCAACGAATCGGATCGCTTTTTAAGTGATAGCAAGACGACCCTTTCAAAAAGGCAAAAACTGCGTACTAGCGTCAATTTAGAATTATATAATAGGCTTCTGGACGAGCCCCATGCCCCGTTTTAAAAGCACCTTCCTTGCATCCCGCCCTTGTGTTTCATAATCTGCACAATGTCTCGGGTTAAACGTTATCGTGGCCCTTTCCTCAAAAATCTGACTGGTTTTGTTTTGGTCAAGTCAGCGTTGCAATGCAGCATGGAAAGAGTTGTTTTTGTGAAGGATGAAGAACCGCGGTTGAAGTGGATACGGCAGCCTTGACTTCAATGCGTAATGACGACTGAATGGAAAGACCACGTCAAGAATGACTTCATCCCCCTATTCCGGTTGAGCACAAATCATCTGCCCAGCCTTTGAGCTTTTCGTACGGGGGCTGAAACACACCAGACGTTGTTTATGAGGAATAAGGTAGAGGCAAATATATTTTCAGAGAAGAGTATTTTCGTCTACTATGCAGTAACCGGTGCCTTACAGCGAAAGTCTTGTTAGGCATTTAATACGAAGGGCTTCACTAGCTAGAAACGTTCTGCTTGTGCAAACGACCTCAAGTTCTTAAGGTGTACACGTCTAGACGAAGAATACAGTACAAACAGCTCATGGGAAAGAGAAAACTAAGTCTCGCCGTTCATGCTCTTTTTCGAATACAAAGCAATTAAGCATCGTGCTAGTTGTCTCAACAAAAGATGAAGTGATTCTGTTTTAAGTACCTGGCAGTTAGATGAAGTTATTTCAAGCGGAATTTATATAAATTTTCACTGCATATGCGGCACACATATATCTAGTTTTATATACATCTATTTTATCTATATCTATTTTT